AAGATATTGTACTTTTCTCAAAGCTTCAAATTATAACGAACAAATACAAGGGCATTCAACCTTTCATGCTCTAGCCTGTTCCTCCTCTTGGAATGAATAAAATCAAAAGCACTCTAATTCCCTTCACATTCAGTTGCACTTGTGCATTGGCTAAGCACTCGAATTGCAAACTTTTGCAATTCGAGTGCATCCGTTCCAAATTGATCCCACCATGCAACTATAAAAATAATAAAATACAATGTGCATTGAAATAAGTAAAATAAAAACTTTTTAAACAAAATGAAAAGAGAGCTAAGATGAAAGAAAATTACCTGGATTTAACTTTTCTCTCTGACGAATAGCCAAACTCATGTCAAAGGTCCCTATAGCTTTTTTATACTCCTCAAGTTGGGAACTAATGAGATCTTGCTTATCCTCATCCGGTATCAATGTTGTTAAAGTATTAAGCAAACCTCTCGTAACAGTAGTTTGTTTGTTGAAGCTAGGTTTAAAGTAAATACTTGGATTAAGAAAGCAACCAGCTGCATGTAATGGGCTATAAAGTTGCTTATCCAATCTAGCATCAATCACATTAATGTAAGGCATGTAGTGAGACAATCTATTATTAAAATTCTTTTTTATTGTCTCATTTGCCTTATCAATTGCCTCATACAAGTAACCCATACTTGGCTTCTCTTCATTATCCACAAGTCGAAGCACTCTCACCAAAGGTTCACTGATTTTGACAACTAATATGCAATTAAACCAAAATTCTTTATCTTCCAAGATAATTTCACATATTTCTTTCCCAACACTGCTTCTTGCAAACCTAGAAGCAACCCATGCATCACTTGTAAACATTTGTCTAAGTTCATTCTTAAATTTCAACAAACATTGGATGCTCAAAAAGTGAGTAGCAAATCTCGTAACAACAGGATGACACAAATCTCTCCCATTTGTGTAGTCTCTCCTCATTAATGCTAGCACCCATGAATGATTATATATGAACTTTGTGACTTTTCTTGCCTTTCTTATAGTAGTATCAATCACAGGAAAGTATCTTGCATCAGAAAAATTTTCTAACATCAAGTCAATATAATGGGCAGCACAAGGAGACCAAAAAAATGTGATGTACTTTGCTTCCAACCTTTTCCCAGCAGCTTTGTATGAGGCATCATTGTCTGTTATAAATTGCACAACATTCTCCACTCCTACTTCTTTCACCACTTCATCAAACATCCTCTCCAATGTTTCAGCATCCTTTGTCAAACCAGAAGTGTCAATGGACTTCAAAAACATACTTCCTCTAGGACAATAAACAAGGAAATTGATTATTGGTTGTTGTCTTTGATTTGTCCATCCATCAGCCTGAATTGAACAACCATTAGTACTCCATGTTGACTTCAAGGATAAAAGCCATTCATTAACCTCCTTTACTGCATATTTTAAGAGAGAACCCCTCAAATCATGATAACTTAGTCCCTTGAAACTTGGTCCCATAGATGTGATAGCATCCCACATTGACAAATAGTATTTTGATCGTGCAGCATGGAAAGGCACATTAGCATCATACCACCATCTAGCAATAGCCATCTTAGCAGCTTCTTGTTTTTCTTTTGATTGCAAAGCTCTTTTTGTAGTTTTATGTGCTCCAAGAGTTGTCCTTGGTACAAAATAAGAATTAATATTCCTCTTTTGTTGTGCTACATGTGATTGAGATTGAGGGATCTCTTCAATTTCATCATCTTCTTCAACAAATGTTTGTGACCCACATTGACTCCCAACCATATCTCCAAGTCTCTTTCTCTTTTCTTTCCCTTTTCTTATCTCACTTAACAACTGTTGCATTTGTCATTTTACATCTGCTGAAACTTTTTTGCATGCACCAACATTGCCTTTAATTTCAGCAAGGTGCTATTTCAATCTAGTAATTCCACCCCCTTGTATAAGCTTATCACAATATAGACATTTTGTTTGATTCCTCTTGCTTGGGACAATCAAACAATGCGCCCAAGCAGGATCATCTATTTTAGAAGGGACGGATCCAATAGAATCACCAGTAGCAATCCCTGAATCACTAGTATTTATAATGATATCCTACAAAAACAACCCTCGAGGAAAAAAACAAATAATTACACAACAAAAATTAAATGAAAAATATCATAGCAACCTTAAACCATGGATTTGAAACTGATATCCTACAAAGACAACCACCAAGGAAAAAAAGCAAATAATTACACAATAAAAATTAAATGAAAAATATCAGAGAAACCCTGCTAATTAAATCATGAAACTGTAGAGAAATAGAAATGGATCTAAAAATGACAAAACTACTTAAAGAAATGCACATTCACTAGTAGCACTCAACATTTATTAAGAACATTTCTTTTTTTGATTTTGATTTTGAACCCTCGACAGTCGGCATTCAACCAAAAAAATGAAAGGCACGGCATTAGTTCCCAACATAGCCAAAATCTGATTTGAAACAAGATTTTGGTAGATGCAATCAATTGTAATAAAAGAAGAAACGAAATGAGATCCAAATCTCCAATCCATATCTAGAATAGCTAACATTGTCTGCTGGAAATGCCTTTGCGGAAATTAAATACCAGGAGGTCCAAGACACCTACATTTTTATTTTATAATAGAACTGAGGAGTTCGACTTCGACATGGACGTGATTTGAATTTTTTTTTTTTTTATATACACAGGTAGAGGACCATGCAGTATGCATACCAATAGAAAAAGTAACCTCAGAATGAAAATGTGAAGATACCTGAGATGGAGCTGGGCTATTGGAGAGTGGAGGAAGAGAGAGTAGTGGCTGGATCTAGACCACCGGCAGCAGCTGGAGTGGCTGGACCACCTATAAGGAATGGAGCTCAAGCCTCAATGACCGTTGGATGTTGGAGAACAAAAGAGAGGCGTGATCTGAAAGTGTAGGGTTTAATGAAGAAGCTTAAGGAGATAGAGCAACAGCTGGACGCTGGAGCTGGAGAATAGAGGAGAGATCGACGGCTGCTGGAGAAAATAGGAGAGACACGATCTAAAATTGCAGGGTTAAGTCAAGAAGAAGCCACCCCTCGTTTTGGCTAAGGAATCTTTTTTTTTTTTTTTTCATTCTTACATAATATACCGGTCAAATTTTGATATACCGACCAATATCGAAATTTTGGCCAATACATCAAAATTTGACCAATACATCAAAATTTGACCAATACACCTAAAATTTAACCGAAACAAAATTTTAACTTATTTTGTTTTGGTCAACCTCCAAAACCAATATATACCGGCCATATTGATCGATATGATACGGTACAAACTACTTTGGGCTGCATAATGTGGAGGGTGGTAGAGCGAGTGGTGAAAGGGTGACTGCCCTTACCATTTCTCATGTCAGCGCATTCTATTTCTTTATTGGCCTTCTGCGTTGAATTAAATATCATTATACCACCAACCAAAAATATCCTCCTTTACTTTTTCTCTTTTTCAGTTCATTTTTAATAATTTTAATTTAATTTTTAATTTTTTAACAGAGATTTTAAAGAAAATTTTAATAACTTATATAAATAATATTTAAATTTTATATATCTAATTTTTATTGAAAATTTTTAATTAATTAAAAAAATTTTAATT